TTCATACATGGGCTTCTTGCTCTTCCTGTCCCTGTCATGGAGCGAGAGCCAAGTGCACGGCTCATCTGCCCCTTGTGCTCCCTAATCAGAGTGAGAATGCAGCAAACTGTGCACTTTCCCCTCATTCCTTGACAAAGGGGAACAGCCAGCAATGCCCTGTATAAATTGGTGGTGGAGGGGGAGCTTCACCCCCTTGCCTCTCCCCTAAAGGCCACCTGAGATAGGGGAGGGCACCCCAGTCAGTTCCTTTCACCTGCCTGGTGAGTCTGTCTCTTTTCTGTATGGTTTTATCAGAAGCAATCCTATTCCAGGCACAAGTATCAGAGGGGTAGCCGTGTTAGTCTGAATCTGCAAAAGCAACGAGGAGTCCTGTGGCACCTTATAGACTGACAGATTTATTGGAGCATAAGCTTTCATGGGCAAAGACCCACTTCATCACATGCATCTGTAAGGTGCCACAGGACTCCTCGTCGCTATTCCAGGTACAATCCGTTGTCCTGGCACAACCAAACCCTGATCTTGCTTTTTGTTACAATAAGAAGAAACTGTATACTGAATTTGGTGGCCCTAGTTCTGACTGTTTAGGAAGAGTTCTTGAACATACAAACTCTCTACAATATATAATGTACGTATTTTAGTTCATATGGACTTTTGTCTTTTCAGTATTTGGTCAGGAGAAGGTCTTCGTTAGGGACCTCTCCTGTACCTCTTAATCTAGTGCAGTCTTTACTTATGTGAGCTGTGCTATCCGTTGCAACGGAACTGCTCATAGAAAGGTCACTCATGCAAGTCATGCAGTTCTGCTAACCCCGCAGGTTAGAAACGTTCTTTTCTCTCTAAGGAAAGCTGAAGCTCTGATTTGCAAGGAGCTGGTATTTTAAGAAAAATACCAAATGTGGTGAGACGTGTGGTGAGAGACATGGTGAGAGCTGGTAATACTGGTTCTCATCCCAAACTTGGCGGGAGTCTTCCCATTGACTCCAATGGGTGTCGTAGAATCATAGAATCACTAGGACTGGAAGGGACCTCGAGAGGTCATCGAGTCCAGTCCCCTGCCCTCATGGTGGGACCCAGTGCCATCTAGACCATCCCTGATAGATGTCTGTCTAACCGGCTGTTAAATATCTCCAGTGATGGAGATTCCACAACCTCCCTAGGCAATTTATTCCAGTGTTTGACTAACCTGACAGGTAGGAAGTTTTTCCTAATGTCCAACCTAAACCTCCCTTGCTGCAGTTTAAGCCCATTGCTTCATGTTCTATCCTCAAAGGCCAAGGAGAACAATTTTTCTCCTTCCTCCTTGTGACACCCTTTTAGATACTTGAAAACTGCTATCATGTCCCCTCTCAGTCTTCTCCTTTCCAAACTAAACAAGCCCAATTCTTTAAGTCTTCCTTCACAGGTCATCTTCTCTAGACCTTTAATCATTCTTGTTGCTCTTCTCTGGACCTTCTCCAATTTCTCCACATCTTTCTTGAAATGCGGTGCCCAGAACTGGACACAATACTCCAACTGAGGCCTAACCAGCGCAGAGTAGAGTGGAAGAATGGCTTCTTGTGTCTTGCTCACAACACACCTGTTAATGCATCCCAGAATCATGTTTGCTTTTTTTGCCACAGCATCACACTGCTGACTCATATTCAACTTGTGGTCCACTATTAACCCCTAGATCCCTTTCTGCCGTACTGCCGTACTCTTTCCTAGACAGTCGCTTCCCATTCTGTATGTGTGAAACTGATTGTTCCTTCCTAAGTGGAGTACTTTGCATTTGTCCTTATTAAACTTCATCCTGTTTACCTCAGACCATTTCTCCGGTTTGTCCAGATCATTTTGAATTATGACCCTATCCTCCAAAGCAGTTGCAACCCCTCCCAGCTTCTTATCTTAATAAACGTCCTCTCTATACCAATATCTAAATAATTGATGAAGATATTGAACAGAACCAGTCCCAAAACAGACCCCTGTGGAACCCCACTTATTATGCCCTTCCAGCAGGATTGTGAACCATTAATAACTACTCTTTGAGAATGGTTATCCAGCAAGTTATGCAATCACCTTACAGTAGCCCCATCTAAGAGGTATTTGCTTAGTTTATTGATAAGAATATCGTGTGAGACTGTATCAAACGCCTTACTAAAATCTAGGTATACCACGTCCACAGTTTCTCCCTTTTCCACAAGACTTGTTATCCTATCAAAGAAAGCTATCAGGTTGGTTTGACATGATTTGTTCTTCACAAATCCATGCTGGCTGTTACCTATCACCTTATTATCTTCCAGGTGTTTGAAGATTAATTCCTTAATTACTTGCTCCATTATCTTTCCTGGCACAGAAGTTAAACATAGTGTTGTATTAGATCCCATATAGGTTTTGATCTTATGAAGTGTTGAGAACTCTCGGCATCCACTGGAGTTAAAGAGAGATTTGAGCTTTCAGCATCTTCAGATTTTTTGGTTCCAACAGAACTCTTTTGCTTTCTTTGGGAAACCTGTGACTGGAGCAGCCCATGACTATAGGTGGGCTCGGCTGCCGCCTAAGGTGCCACTTCCCGGGGTGCCCGATGATGACTTCAGTCCATTGATGGCCCTGCAGGCAGGGGCGCCGATTGCACGTTCCACCTGGGGCGCCAGCTGCCACAGCCGGCCTCAGGCTGCTCCTGCCTGTGACACTCCCCCATTCCCTGCATTCCAGCTGCCAGCTCCCCCACTCAGAACATGTAACCCTAGTTCTTT